ACACCCACAGGGAGAGGTACCAACCATCTCATCCTAATACCTCCTCACCTGGGATCACAGTACTGTCAAACCAGTACTGGTCCTCGAAAAGCCAACAGATGGACGTGACCTCTCACCTGCAGGAGGCAGCCCAGATAGGCCAAGTTTGGCAGCCTGGGCTGATCTCCATTGATCAGAAGCTCTGATAGGCACCTACAGACTTTGATCTCCTTTGGATTAGGGAAATCTTCACTAAGAACATGAGTAACTTGGCAAAAACAGTCTTTTCCTGCCTCTCATCAAGCCCCATCTTAAGAAGGGTCGCTGCTGGCCCCGGCCAAGGCCCCTGTGTCTATTCTTGCCTGCATCTACTTGTTCTCACCAGTACAGCAAGAATGATTCTCAAACACAAGCCAAACCCTGTCAGGCCTCAGCTTAGGATCCTTCAGCAACTTCCCTTAGCCAGTAGAATAAAATCTAAACTCTTCCCCAGCCCACAGCGTCCCAGCCGGCCTGGCTCCTGCCTGCTACCCCGCAGCCATGCCAACCTTTCTGTTGCCCAGATGCCCCGGGGCAGCTTCCCATTTGGGACCTTTGTACATGCTGCCCTTTATCTGGGGGACGCTGCCTGCCACCTCTTAACCCAGCCTGCTCCTTGGTGGCCAGCTCCCTCTGAGCCTGCCATCTTGCTTAAATGTCACCCTTTGGAGAGGTCCTACACTTGCTCTGTTCTAAAGAGGTTACTCTATTTCAGAAACTGCCGTTATTTCTCTCACCAGCGTCTGCCACCCCTGTGGGCTCATGTATAGGAGTGTTAGTATCCACAGCAACTCCTGGGAAATGGCATCCCTGGTTTGAAATTTGACATTCAATCCATTCAGTTGTTCATATATTGGTTGAGCATTTAGAGGACTCCTTCTTCTCTCTTCCTCCTCCTCCTTCTCTTCTTCCTCCTCTTCCTCCTCCTCCTCCTCTTCCTCTTCCTCCTCCTCCTCCTCCTCCTCTTCCTCCTCCACCTCCTCCTCCTCCTCCTCCTCCTCCTCTCAGCCTCATCTATGTGAAGCTTTTGGCTATGTGTGGTTATCAGATCAGCTAGGCTGAGCAAATCGAACATGGCCTTGCTTCTGTGTAGTCCTCATGTATGCTACTAGTTATGGCTAGGTTTTCTCTGGCCATGCCAGGCCCTCTGCCATAACTGCCTCCTCCAGGAGGTGGGGGCAGTGTCAAAGTCTATGAGTGACAGCATCTGGCCTGAGAGATAATACTGTAGTAACTACAGTTCACGTTCTACTCATCCTTTGTCTAGACTGTGAAATAAAAGCAAACTCTCATTTATAATCAAGTCAAAAACTCATAAACTTATAGATTGCTGAGAAGTGAGCCCAAGAAGTATGCAAAGAAGACAACCAACAAAGAAGCAGCTCAGCCAAGTCATCTGGCTGTCCACACCTGGGGACGTTAATGACAACTATGTTCGTCTTCCGTAATAATCAGTGTGGCCGGTTCCAGTTGATATCTCACTGGCATTGTTTTTGGAACTTGGTACCATAGAGTTGATCTGAGAGAGTAAAGTGGAGAAAGAACTGACTACATTGGGGTGGGGAAGAAGATGAGGGGGACCTCTTCGTGTTAGAACACCAAAATATGAGGCTGGGGGCAACTTCAAGGAAACTGAAGAACCATGCTCCTGGTTCACAAGGAACAGCAGCCTGCCCAGGCAAGGAGGGCTCAGCAAGGCCACAGAGTCTCCATTGGGATGGGTCAAGGGAACCTAGAGTGTTTACTTAGGAGTCGGTCACAAGCCCCCTCTGAACGGGCAAGCATGCCCTGAGCATGGAGTCACAGTAGGAAAGGTTGGCCCCACCCTCTCAGGAGCCACACTCAGGCTGGAGGGAGAAGACAAATAAGCACATTAAGTATCTACTGGTTGCTGCAAAGGAGAGAGTCCACAGAGTCCATAGGGGCTTCAACATGTCCCGTACAGAGGTGGCCCCTTCAGATAGGCACCGGGGTAAGTTATCACTGAGGAGATAACATAACAGTGGTAAATATTAATGCTTTCCATCTCAAAGTATGGAGCTGAAAGGTCTGGGAAAATAGGACAATTTGGATTTTTTCAGTATTTCCTTGCTTTTCTTTTCTTCGTCTTTTTAAAGTAGTCTCTTTTTTTCTTGTTTGAGCATGCCATATGTGCATATAATGTATTTTGATCAAATTCTCTCTATTCCCTTCCTTCCAGTTCCTAGTCTCCTGCCATTGCTTCTCCTTCCCAACTTCCTGTGCTGGGTTGTTGTTGCCGCTGTTGCTGCTGTTTTAACTGGCTTAGTTCTCTTAGCAGCGCCTGTATACGAAACTTGGCAGTAGCTCCCCAACTAGGGGTGAGACTTCATGAGCGCCCCATCCATGGCCAAGCCCTGTACAGGTCTTGGACATGGAATTACAGCTTCTATGAGTTCATACATATGCTCATATGAGGATGAGGGGCACCCTCATCCTCAGCAAAGGGTTTCCCTGACACGCCTGGCTCTTACTGTCATCCCAGGCAGTTTAAGCATTTTCCAAAAGAAAAACAGTGCTACGTTTATTTATTTTTGTTTGCATAACTGCACTGTGCTGCTGCACGAATGCAGAAGACAGCTTGTAGGAATTGGCGCTCACCCCTCTCCCTCTCTCTCCACCATGTAAACCCCAGGGATTGAACTCAGGTCGTCAAGCTTGGCTGCAAGCACCCTTACCCACTGAGCATCTTGCCAGCCCTGTGACTGGGATTTTTTTAAATCATGGTAGAGAAGTTGAGACCCTGTATACTTAATGGAAAAGATAAATGTATTCAAGTTACTCCTTACTGCAACAGATTCCATAAACAAAATTTAAAGTGAATAGAGGCACCAGACACGAGCACGTAATACTAGCATAGAAAAATATAGGAACCAATTTAGGTAAAAAATAACAAATAAAGAGCTTGGTGGGCAAACAGAATTTTTAAAGATAAAGTAGCCTAATTAAGATGGATAAAGAATATGAAGAGATAAAAATGTCCCAAAACTGTGTGCACAGAGTTTTAACGTTATGTAAAATACTAAATTATCTAAATTCAAAATACCAGTGAGGTTCCATTTTGGTTTAGCAGATGGGAGAGTATTTTAATGCAGAATATATTTGCGACACTATAATAGTTGGTGTGTTGAAAGGGTGGAGTTTTCAGAGAATAGCGCAGTCCAGTGATGTCTGGGGGGAACTGAGATTGATAGAACCACAGGAGAGGATAATTTAACAACCTTTATCAGCGAGAAATCTAGATACTCTACTCCCCTCCCCCACCCCATCTAAACTATTATTTCTACAAGTCTGCTGAGACATTAGCTGAATGAGAAAAGAGTCACCAATATGAGTGTGTTTCTTGCAGTTTAATGAGAATCTAGGACTGGATTGTCCATTTCTATAGAAAAACAATTAAGTTGGTATATATGCCCATAGTATATATTATTAAAGAAAGAAAGTGACCTAAAATCAGGGACAGGGGTCCGACTCAGTGAATAGAATGCTCTCCTAGCATGAATGATGTCATGGGTTCAATCCCAGCACCACTCAAAAGTGGGTGAGGTGCACACCTGTTTGAAGGTGAAGACAGGAAGGTCTCTCTTGGCTACATAAGTGAATTCAAAGCCAGCCAGTCAGCCTCCCTACCCCGTCACAGATACACACACACACATACACACACATACACACACAGACACACATACACACACACAAATACACACACACACACACACACACACACACAAAGGGAGATAAGACAAAAGGGAAGGGAAGATTAAGCCCAGGCTGGGGAAAACAGTATGAGTGTGTGCACATTGAGAAACTCTAGAAGGATATGTGCTAATAGTAACTGGAAAGCACAGGAGAGTCAACTGATTGCATGAGAGAGACTTCACATTTTTCAAAGCATCTCATACCATTTGCTTTGCTGCCTTTCGTGTGTCTCATTTTTATAATTTAAACAGATATATTTTCTTAACGTGACTGCAACAAGTGAAGAGAAAAAAACAATGTCAGTAGAAAGCAGTGCCATCTATGTGAAGTCTGGGTTTCATGCATAATGAATGACCCAGGGTTGCTTTGGTAGTTGTGACAAGAGTGCCTCAGGTGTAGGCAGTGGAACTGGGCTCAAGTCCACAGGAATTCTTTTAATTGTCTCTGACAGTTTTCCAAAGCCTCAATGTATCCCCAAAGTGAACAGAAATGGACTCATAGTCATGTTACCCAGGTTTGTAGCCATAGTAACCTCAGCTCCTAAACCCTTTTTTGTCTGAGATGAATTGAGGTCCCTACCGGGCTGAGAGCTTGAGGGGACATGTGCCTCCCCATACAGACAGAGGCCCCGGAGTGGCCTGCACCACTTTGCAGAGATCACTTAAGCTGTCTGTAGCTAACAGCTTCAGCACTCTGCTCAGACACCCAGATACCGGATTACCTAGTTCTGTGTATGTGTGTGTGTGTGTGTGTGTGTGTGTGTGTGTGTGTGTGTGTGTGTGTGCACGCATACATGCACCCACACACCTTGGCACATATGCAGATGCCAAAAGAGAGTCTACATCCACAATAAAGGTTCCAGAAATGGAACTCGGGTCTTCAGGCATGGCGGCAAGCACCTTTATCGGCTGAGCCTATTTCACCAGCCTCCTTGACTTTTTAAATGAATCATATCCTTTCTTGCCCCCTCTCAATCTAGAATTATAAGGACTTACACTCAGGAGCTTGGTCTGATGGCTGTGGCGAGTTATGAGGATGGATGGAGTGTGGCCAGGCCAACATCACGAAATCCACACCCTCTCACCCTTGTCCTCACTACTAGGAGCTCCAGTGGATGGAGCCAGCCAGCCAGAAGCATGAGGATGCTTCCAGACAATGCCTCCCCTCTTCCTGTAAATCTTCCTAGGCTGTGACATCTCCTGATTGGCAGTTCTTAGGGAGAAAGTGGTAGGGCCTGGAGTGACCGCCTGTCTCTTTTCTCTGTCCAGGCTCCACTTCCTTGTGTTTGACACAGAAGAGGTCCACGATGTGCTACGCATCTGGGATGGACCTGTGGAAAGTGGGGTTCTCCTCAAGGAGCTGAGTGGCCCAATGCTGCCCAAGGACCTGCACAGCACCTTCAACTCTGTCGTCCTGCAGTTCAGCACGGACTTCTTCACCAGCAAGCAGGGCTTCGCCATTCAGTTCTCAGGTGTGTGCTTGCCCACTGCCAGCACCTCGAGCCCCTCCCACCTTCCGTCCCTCCATCCTTGGAAAGACATTGCCATCTGCTGTGTATTTGGCTCATGGTTTATTCAAATATCTGTGCTGAGGAGCCAAGAAAATAGCTTAGGAAGTAACATGTTTGCCACACCAGCATGAAGACGTACGTTGGAGCCCCAGAATCTGTTTTGGTTTTGTTTGGTTTGGGTTTTTTCTTTCTTTCCTTCTTTCTCTCTTTCTTTCTTTCTTTCTTTCTTTCTTTCTTTCTTTCTTTTTTGCTAAGTCAGCTAAGTTAGCATACACTTGTAATTCCAGAAGGATACCTGGAACACACTGTCCAGCTGACCTAGACTAGTTAGTATATTTCAAGACAATAAGAGACTGTCTCTTTAAAAAGAGTCAGATGGACAGCATCTTCAGAACAATACATGCATAATGCTAGAAGTTAGCCTGTGGCCTCCACATGTACATGTGTTCTCCCCCACCACACACACACACAGTGTATGTGCATGTGCCCCTGAGTGCACAGAAAATTTTTTCCATGCATGCTGAGCTTACTTGGGTAAGGAAAGCCAGCAGATTGGGAGATACTCAGGTCCTAAGAAGCAGATGAATGGAGAAATCCTTGTTGTTGATGCCACTGTGAACATCAGGGAAAATGTTCTAGAAAAGGTGTTATCCACACTCACACCTGAAGGATGAATAGAAGTAACTGAGGAAAAGAAAGTATCTGAAGGATGGAGTGGTCAAAGCTGTGGACAGATACTAGCAGGCTGGACTTCAGAAGCTCCATGTACCCTAATGAGCAGGAGGCAGGAAATAGGACATCTTGGATACAAAGAACACTGAGAGAAAAGAGTGGGTTCTGGAAGTAGAATGGGGTCCCTTGAGGTGAATGGAGGGATGTTGAGAAAGACCCACGGCATACTGGTGTAGGGCTCGATTCTGGTAGTGTCCATGCTGTGTGCTCTGGTTCCCTTTTGAGTGCAGGTCTTGGAAAGGACTGGAAGCCAAGCATGAGAGTGATCTCAGTAATCTCAATTTAATTAAGTGTGCGCAGCAGTGGCCAGTTATGGAACTGCATGACAAAGAGCCTCCCAAAGCTGGCAATATTCAAATGCCCAGGTCCTGAGTTGGCTGATCTTCCCAGAACTCGGAATCTCTGGACTTTCTCTTCTGTCTCTCAACTTCCTGAGCAACTGAGGCAGAGGGAGTTCTGATTTCATGGATTCAACCAATCCTGGACCAAAAATTCTGGGTGTGTGTGAGGGATGGAATCACATCTATACTGGACATATACAGACTGTTTTCTTATAGTTATTTCTAATCATATTGTATAATAGCTATCTGCATATTATATATTAAGTATTAGAAGTAATCTACAGATGATTTTATATACACCAGGGATCACATGGGTTAGTTTTACTCAAGAGACTTAAGCATCCTGGATTTGAGTATTCATGGCTGGAAGAATGCCTGGAACAAGTCCCTCCAGAATACTGAGGGAACCTGGACTTAGTAACTTGCATGCACAGTATATCTGCAGTCATCTATCCTGGCACTTCCAGTCTATTCTTGAAGCTGCATGGAATATTAATTGGTACTGAAAAAAATCAAATGTCCATGATCCAGCCATGTTGGAAAGAGGCTTGGTGGGGGCAAACTTAAGCATATTATCTGGAAAGCTAATGCAGCTTCTGAGAGCATTCCAGATGCTCACACACTCATAAATTCAAAACATGTCTGATAAGTCACACATTCCAAATGTATTTGACCATGAATGACTTTTTTTTGAGGCTGTCTCAGGAGACTGGCATTTCATGGAGAAAACGTTAGCAATTGCTGGGCTGAGCAATAGAAGCAAGAGAAGATTCCTAGCATACAGAGGGGAGAGTGTGGAAGACTCCCGGGCACTCTCTTGGGGAAGGAGCAGCATGAATAATTAACGCACACACGTGCACGTTCTCTGACTGTGCCCACACTGGCAGGGATGGCTTAAAATGAAACGACATAAAAAAGCCCACGATTCCAGATGAGTATCCCACAGATCTGCATTATCCGAACTCCTGTGTGTCCTCACTGTAGCCACACAGGATGGTCCCCAGGCACTCTCCTGTGTGAACCACCTAAGTAAGGCTCACTCCCACAGCTGCATCATGCATTGCCCAGGCCCAGCTCCCAGGAGTCAGTCATCCTTCAAGGTTTGTCTCCAAAGCTGCTGCTTCCTAATCTCCCTGTTCTGAATAAGTTACTGCAGCCTCTGGCACCCCCGAGCATCTTGCTTCTGTTTCTCTGGCACCAGCCAATGCCAGCCCTCCTGCCCATCTTGAGTGGCATCTCCTTGGCATCACACATCTCTTTTAAAGTATGAAGGCTAGGTCAGACCTCTCAGGCTCCATAGAGTCCATGTATGCAGCAGGTGTTGCAACACATGAAGTCATCAATACGTGAGCTGGGGGTTGGGGGGTGAGTCCGTGATACCAGGGTTTCCCTACACAATCTTATGCTGATCAGACTAATCACAACTACCTAGCCCAGGCTCCAGAAAGGCCATAACAACCTGGCCCCTGTGCTCTGAGTACACCGGAGGTTCAGGAAAGGTCACCTTTTCTGTTGCTGTCATCAGTTAGCAAATACCAGGGCTCCTCTTGGGAGAGGGAATGGCTTACCACACGTGAACCTGGTAGTGCATGTTTGATGAGGGATTGGGCAGAAATGCCAGGGACGATTAGCACAAGCTTGGCTTTATTAAGTAAACACGACTGTGCAACAGCTAACATCCTGTCCGTACCTGGAGGATCTAGCCTTTCCCTGGAGGCTTTGGCAAGCTGCTCAAATCCAGGAACATTCAAGAGAGACTATGAGACCCACAAGAGGTAGCGGGCAGCATGATCTCAGCCATCTTCAGAGCAGGCAGCAGCTAAGCTTCCCCACTAGATCTTAAGATCTCTTAAGAGTTTTTACAGAAACGTGATGCCACAGACACTATTATTAATCCACACCACAGATACAGGCTGTGTGGTTTCTCACACAAGGTCACAGGGTTAATAAGCAGCAGAGTCTGGATCGAAACCCATGTGCCCAAGATTCCCAAACCTGGTGCTTAATCATTGCATTTCTGTTGCCTACCATATAAATAACCTTTCTGAGTGTGGCCAGAACTGCAAGCTGTTTTTCTCCCAGGGAATCATTTACATGTGTACAGCACCCCGTGACGCTGGGGATGAAAGCTAAGTCTGTTTTTAATTGGGAAGGCAGAAGATAATTCTTATTTGACTTTCTAAATAAGTCCAGCGAGTGTCAAACGGTGATGATCTGTTCATTCATTCATTCATTCATTCATTCATTCATTTATCCAGCAAATATTTGCTAAGCACTGTCGCAGGCTGAGTACCGAGGATCCTGGGGGTGGAGCGATGAGCAGAATTGTCTCTGTTGGCAGAGAGATGCTGGAATGAAAGACAAGGAAGATGCAAACAAGTAAATTAGCAAGATTGTTACAGATTGTGCTGGGACAAGAACAGAACAGGATACTCTGCTGAAAACAGGGCGGGGAGGGTAAAGGATACGCCCAGAAAGAGCATGAAGGAGGCCTGTCTAAAAAGTGGTATGAACTGAAAACTGAACATCAAAGTGGAGCTGTCAGTGGAGAGTGGTTGTGGGGTCATTCCAGACAGACAGAAGGTGTGCAAGGTCCTGTGATGAGGAAGGGGGAGGGACATGGGCAACTATGTGGGAAAATGTTTAGCACTGTGGCTGGAACATAGTGATGGAGCGTCATTTAACATGAATAAAAATAAGGGATGGGTTTTGCATCCCCAAAAGGGGAGGGCTTGAAATAGGATGGCAGCCAGGAATGGCAGCACAAGGCTGTGGTCCTGGGCCACCCAAGGGGCTGAGACCTTGGGAGGTCAAGTTCAAGGATTGCCTGCACAACTTAGTAAGATCCTGTCTAAAAATGTAAAATGTTCAACACAGAGTCCTGGTGAAGTATTTGCCTTGCACGAAGAAGCCCATAGTTCAACTCTCAGATCATTTTCTCAAAAGGAAAAGGGGAGGCAGAAAAGCAGAAAGACGGAAGGAACAACAAAGGGAAGGAGACATAGAAAGAAAAAAGAAAAGAAGGGGAGATAAGATACCACAGAGCAGGCTTTGACAGAGCTTTCTGTCAGACTCCAGTCCTTCAGCCTTTGTGGCTTGTTACAATTCACTTTCTTCCTCCAAAGCCTGAAAGCAGGATACCATGTAAACAAATGACCATTGCTCATGCCTCAATAAAACTTTATTTGTGACAATATGCACAGAGGAAGATTTGCCTGTGGGCTGTAGTTTGTCAGATGCTGCCTTTGGTGTTGTGGAGTCAAAGGTAGCAGGTCATGCAATCCCAGATATTGTATTGAGTGATGTTGGCGACAGGCTCTCAGGGCTTCCACTCCTTGGCCGTTGCCACTAAAGTGCTTCTGGTGGCAAATCAGAATGGGTGTATCTCCCCCGGGGGGGTTAGAAGGCATAGACAGTCCATGGATCTATTGCAGGCTTCATGCCTTTGTGTAAAAGTCAATGTGAACTTTATACTCTGGGTCACAGCAGATCCTTTGGTTGGAGTGTAAAGTAAAAGTCTCCCAATTGTGGGCTAGGGAGCTGAAGGTAAATCACAGGATCTCCAGAAAATTCCTGCCTCTGGGATCTGCAGAGCAAATGCTACAGGGACAGGTCCTGCCACCTACTCAGGGTTGAGGAGGCAGCTAGGGTATGATGGCTGCCTCAGTTCTTCCTCTGCCCTCGCCAGTGACCACTGTCACCTCCTTCTGCCTCTGTCATCAGCTGTAGCAACAGCACCATCCCCCCTTGGCCCATTACTCACTGCCTCCACCAGGAATTGGTCCAGGGGTGACAGTGATGTTATGCCACCACGTCGGCTGAATTTCCTTAGGTCGACCTCCCTCCCCCTCCCTCCCCCTCCCTTCCCCCTCCCCCCTCCCTCCTCCCTCCCCCCTCCCTCCTTCCCCCCTCCTTCAGTCCTTTATTCATTTATTCCTTTTTTCACCCTTCTATCCCCTGCTACTCAATGAACTCACCCCTATTAGACTTAGTCAAGCACCAGGTCACAAACCTCTTCTGTAATGCTGAGCCCTGCCCCCGCTTTTTCACATGCACATATGTTATTTGTATGTATGCATACGTGCATGTTCTCGTACATAGGTATGTACGGATGTCTGGCTTGGTTTGGAGGCCAGGGTTTGGTGCTAGGTGTCTTTCTGGATCATGCTACGCTTTTTTTTTTTTTTAATAATTTATTTCTTCTCAAATCGTAATTCATTCACACAGGGGTATAAACACAGAAAGGCAGGATGTGGGGAAGGCAATGACACTGGAGTGTGGGTATTCAGGGGGAATACAGATATCTTCAGAACCGGGTATCGGCTGGGTGAAGGTTCAAGTCACTATGACTCTGCCTATGACTCGCTTGTCCTTATCTAAGTTGGTATTGTCTGCCAAGGCTACCTATTTACAAGGTCTATGACTACTCAGGCTTGTAAATTTCCACAAAAGCTGCCTGTTGACATTAGCTTATAGCCATCTGTTTCAATGTTTTCCACTGAGACCCAAGACTTGGTGTTAGTATACATGTATGACAGGTCTATTGCTGATTTTAGGCCTATGGCTGATTTTAGGCCTTCAGTGTGTAAGCAGGGCTGCCCCTGACATCTCCTCCCTTCTCTAAGTATAGAAGGGCTGTGGCAATTCTAAACTTGCGAAGGCGGGGATAGAGGCCTGACCTCCAGTATTTGAAGGGGACCTTGTAATGGCTCCAGTCCCCCTGTCATTGTCCAGTGAGGCATGAGGGCCATACCCGTCCCGATGTCTTTTCCCTGGAGAGGGGATACTTTTGACATCAACCCCTATGCAGTCAGGCTTGTCCCTCAGGGAACTCAGATAGATATTTTTATCTTTTATTTATATTCCCTTGCAGTGCTTAGCCTCACAGCCTAAGCAAGAATTCAGATCGCCTGTCAGAGGGGGTTCTTGGTGGCCCCTCTCTGCTTGGTCTAGGGGCAGAAGTTCCCCCTTTTAGGTTGGGTGGAGATGGGTTTTGGGAACACCCTGTATAAAGTAACAACCTCATCTTGAGTCTTGTGGTCCTCCATAGCTAACTTATAATAATATATCTGAGTAGGTTTTGCTACCAAATTATTTATCTGTTGTATCACAGAGTTAGTCCACCTATTTGAGGGCCAGGGACCAGCAGAAAAAAGCAAAAAGAACCCAAATAATGGTCCCAAGATGGGAGGAAATAGGGTTGACAACCTTGGAGAGGCTGAAAACCAATTCTTGTACCAGCCTTCATCTGTCTCTGTCTCTCTCTGATTTTTCTTAGGGCCTTCACTGACCTATTTCATGCTCTCTTTAACCCTCCCTGTCTTGTCTATGTAAAGGCAACCTTCTTCTTTAAGGGCTGTACACAGTCAAGAGCTGTACACAGCCTTTTCTATTGTAATAGAGTAAATCAGTTCCAATAAGGATCTTTGCGATTTTAGGAGGTCTCTTCAGACAGCAAAACGAGGGATTTCTTCAGCTTAGTGATGTCAATCTCTAGCTGTTTGATGTTCTTGTCAGTGGCCCTTCAAAGGTCTGAGTGGTGTAAATTCGGAGGCCAGCATCTGGATTAGAACTTCTAACAGCAGACATCACGGGTGATTCATTTTTACCTGGGATGCTGCCTGAGTTAAAGCTCCTGGGAGTCCCTCTTTCTCTTGGTTTTCTGGGGTTGGGTACAGAGCTGCTGCCTGTGACCTGCTCTATGCTCCGGCCCAGACCGGAAGTCCCCATGCTATGCTTTACTTGCTGAAAATCTCCCCTGTACCCAAGGCATCCCAATTCAGTCATTGTAGCTAATCAGCTTGCCTCGGAGATCCCTTGATCCACTTCCTAAGTGCTGGGACTCTAGGCCAGCTGCCATGGCCACACGACTTCCCCTAGGGTTCTCTGGTCCTTGTGCTCCTGCTCCCGAGTCATCTGTCCAGCCCCTGTTCTGACTTTTTAGTACAGACTAGCCACTTAGGTTGATTTTGAGCTCAGCTCTGCCACTGGCTACAAATATCTGTTGTTTTTTTTTCCTAAACATGGTGCAGGTCTAAAGGGTCTGTCGCTATTTTTACATAGGGAGAGACCTGACCTCAGCAGACTCCTGTGACCCTTGTGGGCAACCCTAGCAGGCCACCCCCAAATCCTTCCCAAACTCTTTTGCCTAGATCTGTGATGTTTAAACTGTATTCCCCTCATTCAAACTGATCGTGGTGTGAGATAGCAAAGCTTTGCCGGTGGAACAATGTTAGTATTTGTAAACAGAATTCATGTCTGCACTCATAACGGTACAACCACGCTTTAAAAATATACCTCCTGCTAGATCAGTGGTTCTCAACCTATAACAGCTCCTACAGTCGTGGTGACCCCCCACTCATAAAATTATTTTGTTGCTACCTTATGACTGTAACTTTGCTACTACTACTATGAACCGTAATGTAAAGTCTACCTTACAGGATATCTGATATGGGACCCCCCCCACGGGGTCGCGACCCACAGGTTGAGAACCACTGTGTTAGATGCCCAGTGAGGTATTTGTCCAGTGGTGACGTGACACTGATGTACATGGGTCCGGCTGGTGGATACAAGGACTTAGCTCCACTGTAGTGGTCACTGTCAAGGGCAGTGATAGTCAGCAGAGCTGATGAGCTGTGTGCCTGGCTGACAGATAGACACTGAATCGGCTCCACCCCCTCTTCTCTTCTCTTCCCTCAGTGTCCACAGCAACCTCTTGCAATGACCCGGGAGTCCCACAGAATGGGAGTCGGAGTGGTGACAGCTGGGAAGCCGGTGATACCACAGTGTTCCAGTGCGACCCAGGCTATGCTCTGCAGGGAAGCGCAGAGATCAGCTGTGTGAAGATCCAGAACAGATTCTTCTGGCAGCCCAGCCCACCCACATGCATTGGTACAGAGCTTCGGGCTTCTGCTTCCCTCCTCCAGTCTTAGGGTTGTGAGCACCGGGCTCCTCTACACAGCAGGCAGCTTCCTTTTGAGCCTGGGTCCGAGAGAATGGTACAGCAGAATGATATGGAAAATCCAGCTTTCCTACACACACTCACACACACATGTATACACAGTCATGGCCATGCATACAGAGGTACACAGACATGCTTACATACATACATACACACACACACACACGCATGCACGCACACGCACGTACCCACACACACACATCCCATGAACTTTTGAAAATGATCTCAAAGAGTGCTGAGCCAGGCAGATCTGTCTTTTGTCTCCAGACCATTGTCTAGGTTGGATGGGTCATCCTGGGTCAGAAGACCAGCAGATTCCAGGGACAAAGGAGAGACCCTTTTCTCCTTCTCCTAGGGAATTACTGACTGCCTGGATTAGGGTTCCCAAGATCTACCCTTTGTCTTAAAGTCTCCACATTCAACAGATGAAGGCTCTTAATAATAATGATGATGATGATGATGATAATAATAATAATAATAAAGCCCAAGGCCTCATTGCTTATAAAGGAAGAGACACCATTATCCTGTCCCACCCCAGCTACCTGAGACGGGTAGGTTGGGGGGGCTTGTAGGCAGAGGCAGAAAGAGGGACACTAACCACCAGGTGCTCACATGCCCAGGTGCTCACATGCCCCAGGTGCTCACATGCCCCAGGTGCTCACATGCCCAGGTGCTCACATGCCCCAGGTGCTCACATGCCCAGGTGCTCACATGCCCAGGTGCTCACATACCCCAGGTGCTCACATGCCCAGGTGCTCACATGCCCCAGGTGCTCACATGCCCCAGGTGCTCACATGCCCAGGTGCTCACATGCCCCAGGTGCTCAC